GCGGCGGGCGAGCCTTTCGGGTTCCGATTTACCGCGCCAAGACTAGCCGCAATAAGTCGAACCCAGAAGTTCGATTGCCAGCCGCCGAACTAGCGGGTAAGTGTAGCCAAGGCCTAAGCCATAGGGCTCACTCTGTTCTCTAATCAGTAATGATCTCAATGCCCCAGTGTAATTCTAGGGGCCACTGTGCTGCAGGGAGTGGTGTGGGTTACTCAGTAGGGGACATTCTCCCCTTGGAATTAGTACTGGCCCCATTGCCTCAGCATGATGCTGTTGGAGGTTAAGTCTTTCACAAAACATTTTTCTTGAATCCTTGTAGTCCAAAGATACCCTATCCCTTTGCCCAAGTCAGGGTGTTAACCCTCATACTCAAATCCCAACTCAGATTATTTTAGTCTCAATCATAGAATCATAGAAGATAGGATTGGAAGAGACCTCAGGAGGTTATCTAGTCCAACCATTTGCTTAAGCAGGACCAACACCAACTAAATCATCCCAGCCAGGACTTTGTCAAGCCGGGCCTTAAAAACCTCTAAGGATGGCAATTCCACCACCTCCCTAGGTAACCCATTCCAGTGCTTCACCACCCTCCTAGTGAAATAGTGTTTCCTAATATCCAACCTGGACCTCCCCCACTGCAACTTGAGACCATTGCTCCTTGTTCTGTCATCTGCCACCCCTGAGAACAGCCAAGCTCCATCCTTTTTGGAATCCCCCTTTAAGTAGTTGAAGGCTGCTATCAAATCCCCCCTCACTTTTTTCTTCTGCAGACTAATCAAACCCAGTTCCCCCAGCCTCTCCTCGCAAGTCATGTGCCCCAGCTCCCTGAGAGACTCATCATCCCTAAAAATTTTCCTGCAGCTTCTATTGGAAACAGTATTCCACTGAACCTCCTATCCTAAGTCATTACTCAGCACTGTTGTTGGATTGTTAAACAGTTGTTGTGCCCCACCTCAGAGAAGGGTGCACTTTAGAGGAGTGCACTGGGGGTGATGAGTATGTGGAAAGTGAAAGGGATTTTAGCACTATAACATTATTCTGATTCCCTCCTCCCTTTCTCCAACTTTCTTTCCTTCCCTCACCCCAATCTCTCCTCTCCCTTCCTGGTGCTCAGGCCCAAAACTTCATTACCCACCTTGAGGGCCTGGAGGAACTGGTGCAGCTTACGACCCTGCATCTGCGTGACAACAGGCTTGAGACCCTGGATGGCTTCTCTAAGAGCATGAAGTGCCTGCAGTACCTCAATCTGCGGTGGGTCCTCCTCTGATCAACTTTGGCCCTGGAGACCCCTCTGGAGAGTACTGGGAACCCCCTGTGAGCAATGGGACTGCTCTCCTCAAAACATGTCAAGTTAGCTGCTTTGGAGACACTAGTCTTCACCAGCAGGTGGGGCTGGGTTGGTCTTCCCAGCCCACTGATCTCTACGGCCCAGGCCAAGCTACCTTGATGGGCCCCAGTGCTCTGATTCCTCAACCACTTTAGGATGCCACTCTTTGCACTGTGTTCCTTCAGAGAGATTGGCCCCTCCACATCCATCTCAGATCTCCCCTGCTGTACCTTATCCTCTTTGGTCCCTCTGCCCTCCCCCCTTCAGTACCCTGTTGATGACTGCAAATACCCTTTTCTCCTAGGTATTTGCTATACAGGGGAGGCAATGACACTGGCTAATCCAAAGGGCTGTCTGTACACAGAGGAGACACCTAAGGAAACCCAGAGAGGGGAAGGTCTTTCTTTTTGTCTCTCTCAGTTTGGGGAGCCCCAGGTGTTCAGGGCTGTTTGCTGATGAGTCCCTTTCAGTTGGTCATGTCTGTTCAGTCACTTTATTGTTATTTTCATTGGGGGATCTCAATAAATAGAGTTATTCTCTCTCCCTGTTTCCCCCCACCCCCCACCCCTCTGCAGGGGGAACGGGATTCTGAACCTTCAGGAGATGGCAAAGCTGCAGGTTCTGCCCATGCTGCGGGCACTGGTGCTGATGGACAATCCCTGTTCTGATGAAGGTGAATACCGGATGGAGGCTCTGGTGCTGCTTCCCCATCTTGAGCGTCTCGACAAGGATTTCTTTGAGGAAGATGAGCGGGCAGAGGCCGAGGAGACACGGCAGCGACGCCGGGATGAGGACCAGGTTAGAGCAGGGGAAGCGGGGTGGGGGGCCAGGGCGGAAAGAGACTCGGAAAGGAGAAAGACTAGAGATTTTCAGTCTGAGTGTCTTTTCTTTAGATTAAGGGGAAAAAAGAAAGCCTAAAGTAGAGCCTCAGGAGAGAGTACAGTATGTGAAACATCCTCTGAAACATGCTGCATCACATCTGCCATACAAAATGGCCTGAGAAGGGTCAGCACTGAGAAATCAGTCAGAACAATTATAGCGCCACCTACCCCAAAAGGAGGAAAGAAAGCAACATCTGGAACCATCCTTGTTAACCTCTCCCTTTTCTTTTTTCCCCTCAGGAAATGGAGGAATCTGCCCAAGGGGAAGTGACTGAGTGACCCTCCAGTTGCCCCTAGAGTCTCTCAGAACTCTGTGGGGCAGGAGTAGGTTGGCCAGGGAGCAGGACCAGTGTCTACAACTCCATGTATTTGGCCCTCAGAGACCTTTCCTTTGCCCACACTCTCTGTCTCTCCTGGGAGAAGTTGGTGTCAGACACCCCCCTGTGCTGACCAAGGGAATGCAGCTCTATTGCAGTCAGTGCAGCACAGGCTCTGCTCCTCACAGGCCCAAGGAGAAGGAGGGACAGTTAAGGTTTGTGCAGTTTGAATTGTGGAGCCTGAAGCTCCTGCAATATTTTCTGCTTTGAATAAAAAGAATTAATGAATCTGGAGTGAGTGAAGTTGATTATCCTGGGCCCCTTTCCTCTTCTCTCCTCTCCTCTCCTTTTGTGTCTGGCTCGCTCTCTCCATCCCCTACGTGCTGTTTGCAAAGCTTCTTCTAAATCCTGACTCATCGCAGCTCTGGGTCACATGCTGCTGTCTCGGCCCTATCAGGGGCGTCTCCATCCTGCTGCTGCTGCCGCCGTTGGCTTAGAGGACACATCATCTCCCCTTGAGGTCCTGCTCCTACATCCTTCCTCAGCTCCATCCTCCTCCTCCTTCCAGCAGCACTTTCTCAGTCTCTTGCTCATACCTGCCGTAGGAAGGTAAGTGTCCCCCTCACATCCAACATCCCCCTTGTGCATCTCTACACTCCCCATCCTGGGGGGCCCCCAGCACCCACCAGCATTTGGGTCCTTGGAGAAAGGGACCAGGCGGAGAGGCAAATAAACTAGCTAAACTCCCCTCACTTCCTCCTCCTGCTCTCCCCTCCCCCTGCATTCTCCCTCCTCTGCTTCTCTCCTTTCCTTCTTATTTTAATGTCATGCAATCCCCCCTGTCCTGCCCTTATCTGTGCTACATCACAAAGCTGCAGGATAACACAGCTGTGCCTCTCCATAGGGTATTTATTTGGGGAGGGCTCAACCACCAGAGGTAGGTTATGTTCCCAAGGGCACCCAAGGGAGATGCTGTGGCTTAGAGGCTTACTTGGGGGCAGCTGATTCCTGGTGTCTCTGAAAGAGTTTGGTGCTAGGAGGGGGACTAATCTGAAGTGCCGGTGAGCATCATTCATGTGGGAGGGAACCAAGAAGGACCAGCTTTGCTGAACCCTGGGATCAGGCTAGTTTCCTAGTCTAGCAGGGCGTTGGCAGCATCACAGAGCTGCCTCCCAAGGGGAGGGAGGGGAATTGCCTTGTGCGACATCACATAGTTCACAGCCCCATACCCCGCTGGGGGGGGCAGTGATGGGAAGAGATGGCAGCCAAGGAAGCACTAACTGCAGCAGCCACAGCACTGCAGCAGTGTGAGCTTCCTGGGAGCAGTGCCGAGCCTGGGGGAATTGCAGCAGTGCCAGCTGCCTTACAGCAGTGCCCTACCAGTGCATTGTTGTAGAGGACTGCAGCAGGCTTGAGGACTGGGGAGGAGGATTGGACAGTCCTTGCCACTGCCTGGCTTGGCAAGTGGGGGATGGAGGGATGCAGCAGTGTTAGCTTCTACAACACCATGCCCTGGCAGTGTGAACTTCCTTGAAGCAGTGCCAACTTGGGGGAAGTACAGCAGTGCAAGCCTCCTGCCAACGTTGCCCATTCCACCAGCCACCAGTCCCTCTCCCAGCACTGTGTGGTTGCTCCTTGCGGAAGCTATCCAGGCTTCCTCTCCCAAGGGCCTTTGCACTCTTCAGCCTGACATCTGCCCTCTTCTTGAGCTGCGTATGAGTTCCAGGCTGTGGCTCTGTTCCAATCCCTTATCCCAGCTTATCCGTCTCTGACCTCCTTTCATGACAGCACTGCTGCAGCCAGTGAGTTCCAGTGCGGCTCTTCCTCCATCTGGGGCCCTGGAGGTGGAGAACTGGACAGTGAGAGAGAGAGAGAAGCAAGGAAGGAAGGGTACAGAGGGGAGAGGAAAGAGGAACAGAGAGAGTGATGGGGCCATGGGAATGCAGCATGGCTGAGGTCTAGTTCCTTTGGTGTCCTTGGGCCAGCTGCTCAGTGACCTTTGGAAGGATTGGGTAGAAGGGGAAAATTGACAGTCTGAAATGAAGCTGACAATGTTGCTGCTGAGGGGTTGGGAAATGTTTAGTCCAGTTCATGTGTCATCATCAGGAAACTCACACTTGTGGGGTCTGCCCCTCCTTGCCCTCTCCCTCCTTTATGCTGCCTGCTAGGGTACTGCCAGGGCACTACCATGGGGGAAGCGCCTGTGGGGTCTGACAGACTGCGTGAGAAATTCGGCTTGCAGAGCAGCTGCTAGGGCAGCTGATGGGGATGCCAGCCCAGATGGTGGCTGTGAAAGGAGTTGCAAGGGGGAGAACAGCCCTGCGTGGGTGAGATTTCCCAGCATTGGAGCACTGGCTGAGATTTCCCAGTACTGGAGATGTTTTCTGTAACAACATTGTGATTTCTAGACACCAGGAGAAGGGGCTTGAGACCAGCTCCTGCCCCCAGTATGGGCTGCTCCTGGTCTCCCCTCTGCTCCCTCCACCACATGCACTGCACACAGTCCCTGTTGAGGTGTAAATCTCTGCCCACCCCCACACCACTGTGCCTTGTACTGGGCATTTGTCCCCTGCGCAAAGGCTTTGCAGGGCTCACCAACTGAGAATTGAGTTTCCCTGGTCTCCGCTTCGGATTGGGTTTAATATCCCCACTCAGAACTGGTTACCCCTGATGGTGGGGAAGGCGGACTGAATCTGTGTGAGCAAGAGAGGAGGGGAGGGGTGATGAAGGAAAGAGGGAGGAAGCAATAAGGAGAGGCAGAGAAGGGAAGCGATAGGAACTGGGGGGATTCAAGGGGAAATGGCTTGGGGGGGGGGATGGTGCATTGAATTCTGCCACCCCTGCCCTAAGGTACCACTCCCTAGAGCAGGGGTGGGCAAACTATGGCCCAGGGGCCACGTCTGGCCCTTTAGACATTTTAATCCGGCCCTCAAGCTCCTGCTGGGGAGCGGGGTTGGGGGCTTGCCCCGCTCCGTGCATGCCATGGCGCCACGTGGCTCCTGGAAGCACCAGCATGTCCCCACTCCATCTCCTACGTGTAGGGGCAGCAAGGGGGCTCCGCACGCTGACCCTGCCCCAATCGCCGTCCCCGCAGCTCCCATTGGCCAGCAACTGCAACCAATGGGAGCTGCAGGGGCGGCATCTATGGATGGGGCAGCGCGCAGAACTGCCTGGCCGCACCTCCATGTAGGAGCTGGAGAGGGGACATGCCGCTGCTTCCTGGAGCTGCTTGAGGTAAGTGCCGCCTGGAGCCTGAACCCCTGCCCCTTCCAGCACTCCAACCCCCTGCCCCAGCCCTGATCCCCCTCCCGCCCTCCGAACCCCTCGGTCCCACCCTCCTGCATCCCAGAGCCCGCACCGCCAGCTGGAACCCTTACCCTCCCACGCTCACCCCTGCCCCAGTCTGGAGCTCTCTCCCGCATGCTGAACTCTTCATTTCCGGCCCCACCCCATAGCCCGCGCCCCAACTCCCAATTTTGTGAGCATTCTTGGCCCGCCATACAATTTCCATACCCAGATGTGGCCCTCAGGCCAAAAAGTTTGCCCACCCCTACAGTTATTGCTAGGTACTTTGTCTGGCAGCCAATAGATGGGTGGCAGTTGGTTAGCTATGACTGAATCTTCAAACCTCCTCACCTCCCAACCCTCACAATACAAGAGACCTCCATCCTCCCCCTCCCACCACACTCATTAGCATGACTTACATATAGAACTAAAGATTTAAAAGCTGGGACCAGCCCCATACCCCTCTTTCCTCCCCCTGGGCTGCAAGACAAGAGCGTTCCTCTTAGTCCATTCTTGGGGCTCCTTAGCGCCCACTTTCCCTAATGCTGGGGCTCCAGGCCCTTCCCTCGGGGAGATGGCTCCCTGGGCTCACAAACCCCTCCGTGCTAGGGCCCTGATTCCTGTGTTCCTTTGCCTTGTATCAGTCTCACCCTTTCCTTCCCCTGCCCCCCTCATCCCCCCACCCCCGAGCAAAGGTGTGCAACCTGTGGACCTTAAGGCTTTGAAATGTGACCCTCAAAGGTGACCGTAGGATAGAACAGTGTATTGGAATTTTAATGGCAAAGGTGCTCCCTGAGCTGTGCCCTGCGCTTTAAAATTGCAGTGTTTGGATCAGCCCCACCACAAGAAACCAGGATCCAGAAGGAAGAGAGATTAGGCTTTCCCTGGCTGCTTGCCTACTGCCTTGCAGTGGATGGAAGAGAGGAGCTCTGGTTGCTCCATTGCCTATTTCCCTGCCAGGCTGTGGGTAACCCCGGGACAGCAGGATAGTGATGGGTGGCTCCCCTCCCCGATAGCCAGCCTAGGCAGCCCAAGCTGAGAACTACCAACCAATTACAGTGACTTGATTCTCTGTCCAAGTCTTGGTTAGAGCAGCCTGGGGGCTGGCCAGCTCCCAAAAGACCATATACCAGTGGAGATAGCTCTAGCATGCTCCAGCCATGCCCCTTCCCCCCATCCTGTCGTGCCTCCCCCCAGTGCCAGGGCCTCTGTGGAGGGAGATGTAGGTACCAGCTATGCCAATGCTACACCCACTGGGGCAGGGCAGTTCCCTTGTGCTGCCTGAGCATAAAAGGAGCAGAACATGGCAGAGATTGGTTGTGGCCCCCTGACCATTTTGCAATATTGTGTTCAGACTTCAGGCTGAAAAGGTTGGACAATGTTGAACTAAACAACCCCATCCCCTGAGGAATCACATCTTCGGGTATTTGCCAACAGTTCGCATGTCCTTCCCTTAGCCATGGCTTCCCGCAGCCAGGTGGGTTTAGCCTACCTGTGCCCAGAACCCAAACCCTGTGGCCCCAGAAGCGTTTCTCTGGCTTGTCTCCAATGTTGCATCTACACTTGGGACAGATTCCCAGCTCAGGTAGACACACACGTGCCAGCTCTGCTCAAGCTAGTGTGCTAAAAATAGCAGTGTGGCCATGGTAGCATGAGCAGTTGAGAGTGATGGCCCGGATTAGCCAGATCAAGTACAAATCTGCCCGGACCCTGAGGGTATGTACTTAGGTCAGCTAGCCTGTGCTGCTGCTCACCACTGCCCTTGCTACACCACTATTTTTAGTGCATCCGCTTGAGCATGTTTCTGTGAACTGGGAATCGCACCCCCAGCTCCAAGGGTACTCAGACATAGCCTAAGTTCCCTCCTGCCTGTCACTGTCTTTCTGGGAATGAAGGGCCCAGAGCTGAGCCCCATATCCCAGATAGGATGTGAGGCCTCTGCGATGGAGAAATTCAGAATTGAGCCTCTTTCCTTGCTTCTCCTCCCCCCACTGCCCATCTCCAACTCTTCTGCAGGAAAGATCAGGATCACCATGTCCATTGAAAAGATCCATGCCCGGGAGATCCTGGATTCCCGTGGGAATCCCACCGTTGAGGTGGATTTGTACACAGAAAAAGGTATGTGTGACAAGGTGGGAGGAGACTGCGCATGTCTGGACTGTCCAGCACTGGGAGGCAGTGGAATTAGTTCAGTCCTGTGGCAGCCAGCTAGGAAATAGCACCAACAATCTGGATAAGCTTTGTTTCTTCAGCAGCCAGGCATCTTCTCCTTGCAACACCTAGGACCTTGACCATTTAGGAGACCAAAGCCCTGAGGTAAGTGGGGAAATGGGATCCTGGGAGGAAGCACAAGCAGGAGAGCGCAAGAGGGGAGGACTCCTGTCTCATACTGAGAAAGAGGGACGATCGATGAGTTATCTTAAGTGCCTATACACAAATGCAAGAAGCCTGGGAAACAAGCAGGGAGAACTGCAAGTCCTGGCACAGTCAGGGAACTATGATGTGATTGGAATAACAGAGACTTGGTGGGATAACTCACATGACTGGAGTACTGTCATGGATTGATATAAACTGTTCAGGAAGGACAGGCAGGGCAGAAAAGGTGGGGGAGTTGCATTGTATGTAAGAGAGGAGTATGACTGCTCAGAGCTCCAGTATGAAACTGCAGAAAAACCTGAGAGTCTCTGGATAAAGTTGAGAAGTGTGAGCAACAAGGGTGATGTCGTGGTCGGAGTCTGCTATAGACCACCAGACCAGGGGGATGAGGTGGACAAGGCTTTCTTCTGGCAACTAGCAGAAGTTGCTAGATCGCAGGCCCTGGTTCTCATGGGAGACTTTAATCACCCTGATATCTGCTGGGAGAGCAATACAGTGCTGCACAGACAATCCAGGAAGTTTTTGGAAAGTGTAGGGGACAATTTCCTGGTGCAAGTGCTGGAGGAACCAACTAGGGGCAGAGCTTTTCTTGACCTGCTGCTCAAAAACAGGGAAGAATTAGTAGGGGAAGCAAAAGTGGATGGGAACCTGGGAGGCAGTGACCATGAGATGGTCGAGTTCAGGATCCTGACACAAGGAAGAAAGGAGAGCAGCAGAATATGTACCCTGGACTTCAGAAAAGCAGACTTTTACTCCCTCAGGGAACAGATGGGCAGGATCCCCTGGGAGAATAACATGAAGGGCAAAGGGGTTCAGGAGAGCTGGCTGTACTTTAAAGAATCCTTATTGCGGTTGCAGGAACAAACCATCCCGATGTGTAGAAAGAATAGTAAATATGGCAGGCGACCAGCTTGGCTAAACAGTGAAATCCTTGCTGATCTTAAACGCAAAAAAGAACTGCTTTCCACTTCTTGTACTATTCTTACAAGAAGTGGAAA